CGAAGCACTATGAATGAGGACTTGGAGAAAATGTCCTTCTATCAAAACATTCCCCTGCTTCCTTTGTGTTTTGGTTGTGGCCAAGCATGTGGTTGGCTTTGCCAATGAACTGTGAGGGGACACAAATATCCTCTCCAGTTTTAGAAATGGAAGAGGCTGGTTGTTATCCACATTCTCCAATCCCCCACTATGGGGACCCAGAAGCCAGCCCTTGAGTGTCAAGGACAAGAGAACAATGTGGGTGTTCACTCTAGAGAGGGGCCCAACTCTCCTTGGAGATTATCAAACCTGTGTTCATTTTGTATGCATATGTGGCCCAGAGACTGTTTGGTATTTTTCTTTACCTTTAAAAAAAAATGTATTTTATGTGTATGGGCATTCTGTCTATATATGCACCTGTGTACAACGTTCACGACTGGTGCTCAAAGAGGCCAGAAGAAACTGGAGTTACAGATGTTTATGAGTTGTGAGCTACCATGTAGGTCCTAGGAATTGAAACCAGGTCCTCTGGAAGAATAGCCAGTGCTCTTAACCACTAAGCCATCTTTCCAGCTTATCTTTTTTTGATTCACTTTATTTATTATATGTATGTATGTAAGTTGGTGTTTATGTGCATGAGTGCAGGTGACCTCAGAGGCCAGAAACTCAAGTTACAAGTAGTTCTGAGCTGCCCAATATGGGTGTTGGGGACTGAACCATAGTCCTTTGCAAAAGCATGATGCATTCTTAACCACTGAGCTCCAGCCCCTACCTTATGCTATCACTGAACAAGTAGTTCACCAATTTAACTAGGCTGGCCAAAGAGCCACAGGGATACTCCTGTTTCCTCCCCAGAGCTGGGACTATATGCATATACTGTTAGACCTGGCTTTGCTGGGGATTGCAATGCAGGCTGTCATGCATATATGGCAATCACTTTACCATCTTGAGCCATCTCACCAGCTCCGTTTCCCAAGATCTTAAGCACTGTTATTATAGATCAGCCCCACCCTACTAGAGAGAAGTATTTGGGGCCACTTGTGACTTTTGTCTCAGAACCTGAACTTGGCCACCTTAGGCAGATAGAGCTGAAGCTCGTAGCTTAAGTGTTTTGCCCAGGGTCACATGACCAAAAAATGCCAGTAAGACACTCAAGCCAGAGTATTTGTATACTTTGCCATTCTGACTTACTGCTAGACCCCACGCAGCTCTTAACCTTGGCCTCCCCATTTCTTTATTTTTGTTTGCCCAGAAGAGGGCACTGGACCCCTTGCAGCTAGAAGTATAGGCAGTTGTTGCCAAGAGATGCAGGTGCCGAGATCTAACTTCAGTCCTCTGCAAGAGGAGCAAGCACTCTTCAGTGCTGAACCACCTCTCTAATCGTGCCCTGCCAGTATTGATAGCAATGGTAAAATAACACAGCTGTCCCAGCCTGGTTCTTCTAGAGTGGAGGCTGGAAACTTCTGTAGCCAAAAGAAAATAAAGTGGTTGTTTAGAAAGAAATAAAACATTTTTCTTTACTGCAAAGTACTTGCAAATATTCATGTTTCCAGTGTCATTACAAAAAGACCCTCAGAAGAAATCTAGGTCCTTTAATGTGAAAGAATGGTATTAACTTAAAAACAAAACAAAACAAAACAAAACAAAAAACCATACATTGCCACCTAAAGAAAAAGGATACTTCTCTGGGACTGAAATCAGGGCCAAATTCATAGCAAGTATGAATTGTGGCTAGCAGCAAGTTCTTGCTGCCCTAGGGGATTTCTCTTTGATCTAGACCCAAACATCTAAAGGACCACTATGCAGAGCAGAGCAGGATCAAGTGCAGAGCTGGGCATTGCTATTCCCTGAGTCTAGTATCTCCTCCCTAGACATCAAATTCTTTGGATCAGCTTTCTTCCTGGAAAGATGCTCAAAAATGGGGGGTAGAGGGAGAGAGATCACTATTTGTGATTGTTTCTCTTCTTGTACTCTGGCTCTATCTTTGTTACCAGATTCTTCCCTCATGCTCTTGACTTTTGCTGCTCTAAACTACTCATAGACCTTCTGTGAGGAGTGAGTCCTCCCCAGAGATGGACAGGAAAGGCAGAAAGCAAGGAAGTGATGGTAGGGCAGGGTGTAAGTCCTTGTGATGGGAGTGTTGTCTGGCCTGGTCCCTTCACAAAGAAGGCTGCCTCTAAAGCAGGTCCTGTGAGACCTGTGCTGGGTACAGGGAGCAGTGTTTGGGTGCCTGAAGAACAGATGGCAGACAAGGGGATATTTCTTTGTTTGGTTGGTTCCCATGCTTTCAACTGAAGGCCTGAAGAAAGGAAGCACTCTTTTATAACCAACAGGACTGTGGAGGTGATAGCTGGTAGGGCCAGGAGAGGATTCCAAGGAATCCATGGATGTGGCTGAAGACCCTTGAGGCAGGGGCATCCATGGATGTGGCTGAAGAGACATGAGGCAGTGGCTTGTGTTTGGTCGCTACTGTATTTAGCTGCCCAAGGTCTTGCTGTGGACTGCAGCAGGAGCATAGATGAACTTCCAGGGAGCCTCACAAGTGGTGTCAGAGTCCAGACATAAGTTTGAAGTGGGATATATCTGTCTCCCAAGTTGCTTCAAGGTCAGATCCAGGATGGGACTAAATTATGACTGCTGCTTTGTGTGTTTTGCTTCTTGTTAGTTTGGTTTTCTTTTCCTTTATTTGTTTATTTGTTTTTGGTTTTGTTTTGTTTTGGTCTGGGAAGCTTATGTTCCCAGGGTTGCTGGCTCATCCCTGGACACTGGGATGCTGGCTCTATAGTTCTTACTGGATGCACCAGAGCTCAGCTCACACCAAGCCAGAATCCTTGGCCATGCTATAGAAGATGCCCCTCTGCTGCAGGAGTTCAGAGGGTGTGCCGCACTCCCGAACTTCTCCTTTGTCCAGGACAATCACCCTGCATGGGGAGGGATGCAGATGTTAGCATTATGCAAAGAGATGCCTCTGACATCATGGGATTGCTTGCTCTGCAGCCTGGTACCTGTCCTCCCACCTCCTTGTTTTCACTTGTACCTAGCACACGTCACCCTCTAAAATTAGTGTTTGTTGCTTAGTTAAATGTCCTTAAGATGGTTCCTAGGCCTTGTTTGAGAGTGGACCACAGAGTCCAGAATAATATGGGGCACACAGCAGTTACCTAATGCATATAAAGATGCTGACTGAAATAATACTGAATAACCCAGTTCTTCCCATGACAGAAGTGTCCAACCAATTGGGGTTGTAAAAGTGATGAATGACTATGAACAAGTTCAACCCTGAAGGGAGCTCACCTTGTATAGTCCATAATGGTATTAAGCCGATGAGCAATAGTAAGCACAGTACAGCTTTCAAACTGCGTCCGGATGGTGAACTGAATGAGGTCATCTGTCTCAAGGTCCACAGCTGCTGTAGCCTCATCCAACACTAGAATCTTTGTCTTCCTCAGCAGAGCTCGGGCCAGGCACACAAGCTGTCGCTGCCCCACACTAGAAAGGGAGAAAAGCCCAGAGACAGGGTCTCAAACTACCCTGACCCTGAACCAGGCCTGGAGGAGAGAAGGCTAGCAGACGGTCTGAGAATGGGCTTTTGGGCAGGAGAACAAGCCCACTCCCCATATCCATGCCAATGACAGATATTACTAATCAATCATGTTATATTTTCTGATGAGCAGGAAATGAGCTTAGGATCATTCTCTACAAAAGGCTCAGAGGTAATATTCAAAGTATCAGCACAGTTCAGTGTGGATGACAGAGGATAGCAAAGGTGACTCAGTATCCACCATCTCATTGAGCTGCAGGGGTCTGGCTGGACCTGGCCTTAGCCAATGGGATGCTCATCAATAAATGGCCAGTAGAGGCTTGACATGGGAATGGACATTGAGCATGTTCACTCTTACACATCTGCAATCACCATAACAACATGCCTTCTAGAAGATGAAAAGCGTTTGCACTGATCCCACTGAAATCAAGAAGATCAGCCAATGGTCAGCTGCACCCCAACCCTGACCCATGAATGAGCCCAGCCACTGACTGACCACCCTAAGCACTGAAGCAGGATAGAGGCTGGTTGCTCTGTGATGGACAACTGAAGGTAGCACAAGCGCAAAAGAGTAGAATCTTCCCACACCCAGCTCATGCCTACCCACCTCAGGTTCTCTCCGCCTTCTGCACACTCATGATTCAGCTTGTCAGGCAAGGCTGACACAAAGTCCTTCAGGTGAGCGAGCTCCAGGGCCATCCAGACTTCTTCATCAGAATACTGACTGAAAGGGTCCAGGTTCATGCGGAGAGAACCCGAGAACAAAACAGGATCCTATGCAAGAACAGTAGACGACGGCATGTATTAGGGTCTGAATCAAGAGGTTTCCCCACAGACAGATGTTTTGAAGCACTTGTTCCTCAACTGGTGACATCACTAGTTGCTGCTGTGGAGCTTTAAAGGAGGTGGGGCCTGGCTCAAAAAAAGTAGGTTGCTGGGAGCAAACCTCTGAAGGTTAATGATTCTGGCTGCATCCCCACTTCCTAGTTGCCCGACATGGGGAAGTCATCACCACACATACTCTACTTCGTGACACACTTTCCCCACTTATGCAATCCTGTGGTACTACAAGCCAAAATAAATCTCTCTTCACACAGATTCTATCAGGCATTTTGTTATAACTATCAGAAAAGCAAACAACAGTATATGATAATCACACCACACTGAACAGATGTAAGGCATGAGATGTTCACACCAGAACAGAAAGAAAGAGGTCCCAGAGTCCCTCCAAAGCATGAACTCTGTGGGATTTCCATAATGAAAAATGTCTGTAAAACCCTGGGTTAACTGGACTAAAACTAGTATTGTTGCAAAACTTCTTCAAACTTTCAATATACAAATCCTCAATGCTGCTTTTAGTGGTGGTGTTTCATCACAACAACAGAAAAGTAACTAATACACTCACTCAACCCCACCTCCAGAAGAGACTCTCAGAGAAACGTAGGGGGAAAAAATCACAAGCACAAACAATGCATTAGGGAACTGCTGCCCACAGGGATTGATTTAGAAAACTATTTGTAAAGTGTTAGAGGAATTGTTAGAGATCAACACACTGACCCCTGCAATTGGCAAAGAAGATAGTGTCTTACTAAATTGCTACCACCACCAAAATTCAGATACTCTGGTTCTTTGTATGAAATAGTACAGTATTTTCACATAACCTACTCACAGCTTCTGTATACTGATATATCTACATAATATAATACCTAATGCCAAGAAAATGCTAGGAAATAGCTGTGCATTACTTAGGGATAAAAGTGTATGTTTTAAAATGCAGATGCTAAATGCAGAAAACAAAAACAAAACTAGTCATGGGCTCAGTGATTAAAGGCACATCCCACCAAGCTTGATGGCCTGAATTCGATCTTCAGAATCCACATGCAGGAGAAATGACTTCTACAGACTGTCCTGACCTTCACACACATGTTCTGTTCCCTTTCTATCAATAAATACATAAATGAAAACAAACCATTCTTCGTCTACAGTTGGCTGAACCTATGGATTCAGAGGGTGGATGTGGTTTCATTGTACAGGACCCACCAGTCTCACCCACCTGAGGAATGATGGTGATCTTAAAGCGCAGGTCGTGCAGGCCAATCTTGGCAATGTTCACCCCATCAATAATAATCTCCCCTTCTGCAGATTCATTGATCCGGAACAAACCCAGGGTAAGAGATGACTTCCCAGCACCTGTACGACCCACAATACCAACCTGCAGTACAGAAAGGGGCTGTGGTGAGGTAGGAATGAGGCAGACTCTGTTCCCCCAGCAAGTGACTGGGTCAGAGCTGTGTGGTCATCTGGTTGATCCAACTACCATCAAGGGCTCACCCTCCACCTTTTCTGGGACCCACCTTCTGGGGCTACTTTGACAAAAGGTTGGAAAGAACACCCTTTGCTTTGCAGGCTTCCAAAGACTTGTTCAAAGGGATAGGGGGTAGACAGAGGAATGTTTAGTTGAGTCGTGTTCAGTTAGAGTATCCAAAAATAATGAAGTGTTTCTCAGCTTCCCCCACAGTTCCTCTCTGCTCTGACAGAAATTCCTTTCTGAACCATGATAACAGCTTAGAATTAAGCAAAGCCCCTGAACCTCTCTGATATGACCTGGGCATACCAGTTGCTGGCCAATGGCTGACATTCCCAATGTTTTACATCTGGGCTTGAAATAGGCTCCCTCCCTCTCTAACAGCTATCACAGCCCAGCACCTATGCATGAATTCCCATAACACATAAAGACCCAAAGACTATCTCATGGAAACAGAGTACTCTGACCCATATGGATGGACAGTTTAGCAAATCAATATGTACAGGATGCAAGTAGCTGGGGTGATCCCTGACCAAGTTTCTGAAAAAAAAATTCCATGGGTCATAGTCTGGAATGTCTTCCAGGAATAGCTTGGAAGATCCTAAAATCCCAAATATTTCCTATGTCCCTATAGTTACCCTGGTGATGGTGACTCTAGAGTTTACAAACTTCAGTGCCTTAAAGGGATCACATAAGCACATGGACCACACAGAAGAGAACAAGAGGAACTGGAGGGCTAGTATCTCCAAGGAGGAGTCTGGTGGGTGCTGGGCCAGGACATGTTCTAAATGTCCAAAAAAAAAAGCAGAGGGACCATTACATGAACTATCCCAAAAACCTATGTCCATGTCTATGGGCCTTGTCCTTCAACAGTCCATTGTGCTACCTGTTGAATACATTTATTTCCATGATTCCAGCCTGTAAAAGGCCCTCAATCTCATAGTATGAGCTATGACTAACTACCGGTTGATGTGGGGGTTCATGACAGACTTTAGCCAGTAAGAATGGAGGATGGTACACAGCTACCTTTTCTCCTTACTCCACTGACTATGAGTTGGTGAAGATGGAGGATGGTACATACCCACCTTTTCTCCACCCTCGATGGTGACATTTATGTGCTTGAGAACCAAGTCCAAGTCTTCTCGATACCGCAAGCAGTAGTCTCGGAACTCTACACGGCCAGAATGGGGCCAGGTGCTGTGTGGAGCCGTCTCCTGGATTTGCCAAGGAGCCTAGATCACAAGAGGAATCAGCAAGTGCAAGCTGCCATATTCAGTTCTGGGAATCTGAACTTTTACCCACTAAGCTGTCTTCTCAGGCCCCTTCGAACACTTCTAATCAGTTCATTTCTACTTAATTCTTCAACTTATGAAAAAAATTTATACACAGATAGAATTTAATTCCAGTTTGATTCCTCATAGCAAGAAGCTCCTGTAAATCTACACAGCAAGTAGCGACAGGTTTGGCAAGCAGAGGTTGCCTGATGAGGGCTTTAAGAGAATATGTTGTGGTTTACCTGTCAGTTGTGGGGAAAACATCTTAATATGGTCATGAGCCTCAAACAACAAGCAGTGCTAGGACTTTCTCTGTGGCATCATCAGTAAAGAAAAGAATCATAAGGGAGAGGGCTCCTTAGTGATAAAGCCCTGAGAGCACCTTGAGATTTCATACATAGACACTTGGTATCTTGGGGAAAACAGAACATGTAGATGATTTTCTTCCTCTAAAACAAGGTAGTTCTAAGCAAGTGTTAAAACAGGACAAGCCCAAGGGGGCCTGGAAAGCACCCAGCTCACCCTCCAAGTAGGCAAAGGGTGTCTGGGGATACCCAAGGGGCCAAGCTGGGATTATGCCTTACTTCCTTCTCCGTTTCAGAATACTCCTTTAGTCTCTCCACGGCCACAATGTTGGTCTCCATCTCAGAGGACATTCGAACCAGCCAGTTCAAGTATGCAGTTATCTGCCAGTAAGAGAACCATGTGAGGTCTCTTGGGGGAAGTATGGCTTCGTTTTCATTAATTATGCATCATGATATCATTCAAACAATAGAGAAATGAGGAACCCACAAAGAGCCATCACCAGAATGGACACACTGCACCTATTGGGGATCACACCTTTCAAGGTGATATATGATCCATACAGGTTATCAGAAAGAAGTAAGGAGCCGTGAGGTAACTCTGTGGGCAAAGCACTTGCTGAGCAAGCCTGGTGACTTGAATTCTACCCCCAGAACCATGTTAAGGTACAAGGAGAGAAATGACTCTACAGAATTGTCCTTTGACCTCTACATATGCACTGTGGCATGCCCTCATGGAAGGAAGGGAGGAAGAGAGATAGGGAGGGGGAGGGAAAGGAAAGAAGGAAGGAAGGAAGGAAGGAAGGAAGGAAGGAAGGAAGGAAGGAAGGAA